CATACTTAACTGAGGATATTTCATACTGCATTAGACCATATGGCTTTTCAAATGTTGGTATTAAAAAAATTCAGAATGTGTAGTTTTAGAAATACAGAGATTAGTGACTAGTTTGCTCCAGTGGGTACTGACATAGATTGGCTTGTTTAACAAATTGTAATACGGTGACTGCTGCAAGGACCTCACCAGCAGGTTTCATGGAATTACAAGGAGGAAAGACAGTCTTTCAATTTCTAATGTAGAATTTTTTTTTAACTGTAGGTGAATTATTCTGTTTGACATAGCTGAGGTGTCATTCCTGTTGATATCCTACAGATGTCATTTCTACAAAAGCCCTGAGATTGGTTGCTTCATGAAACTTACTCCACTAAATCTCAAGTTTTTGAATTTTCCTCGTAATTTTTAAAGAAATTTTAATTTTAAGATTAGATTATATTAGCATTACTTAGTTCTAGAAAGTATTTTGAAGCAACCAAAGTGCAAGGTAGCCTAAGATGTGTGCTTATCAAGTTGCTCATCTAGAGGCCATTTCAAAAATTAAACTGAGGCAATGGGTATCAAATTAAAGGTTTCACAAATAGGATATGGCGCGGGGAGAGCCGGAGCTTTGGGTTCAATATGTAATTCCTGCGTGAGTGAATCTGAGTTTCGCTGTCATCCTCATCTGTTCTTGAGATTACAGTGAGGTGATGGAACATACATTGTCTAGAATAGCAAGTGTCAACTGGTGTACTGCAAGAGGCACACACTAGAATTCTTAAGGTGCTGCCAGAATTCTTAAAACATGTGATACCTGACTATTTAGTGAGAACACTGTCCTCTTTTCCCTTAGATTGTCAAACAAAAAAAATGATAACAGCCAACACAACAATAGCCATCTGATGTGAATGAATCAAAATTATACCTATTTTTCGGTCAGCAAAAAATACATTTTTGGTGTGGTACAGAATTTTGGTAATTAGCTTATGTTCGCCATGAGATGAGAAAGATTGAAAATTGCTGGTCTAAAACTATATCTTGAACACATTGAGCGCCCAAGGAATGTTAACTGCCGTTCAATCAACAAGTAGGTATTTGAATCACCTACTATGATTGGCATGGGCTAAAATGTAAAATACTAACTGAGCAAGAATGATGGGGACTCTGCCTCCTTCTTCCCTTGCATTGTTACAAGCTTGTGATAACTGAGCAGTGGACACAGAGTTTCTCTGTAGTGGGTCAGTAGTGTTTTCTGTCATCTTTGGTAGAATCTGTTACATAGTAGGTGCTAAGTATATATCTTCATTGAAATGAATTGTATTGAAAATTTCTAAGAATGTTTATTGTTAGTGAGGTATTCTTGGCTTTTGAATTAAATAGACTTAGGTTTGAATCAGAGTCATTGGGTACAGGAATGTGGAAATATATTTTACTCTCTGTGCTTCAGTTCTATGAAACGAGAGTAATACTATCTATCTCATAAGATCACAGTATGAGTTACGGGAGATAATATTAGGTAGTGCTTAGCACACAGTACGTGGACAGTGAATATTAGTTCCTCTCTTTCATTCACTTCAAAAGCAAATATTCTGCAGAATGAGGAAATTCTTAATTGCTCAGTTCTTAATTGAGAATTTTATTCTGTTGTCAATAATATTGGGTTGGCCAAAAAGTTCTTTTAGTTTTTTCTGTAAAATAAAACACATTTTTCACTTTCATCAATAACTTTATTGATTTGGATATTTTGAGTATGTCAGCTGTCTTCTTTGTGATATAACATTTGTTGATTTTTCTCATTATCTTGATTTAATGGCTCTCAACTTCAGCTGGTCGACCTGACCATGGAGCATTGTTCCCCAAGAAATCTCCAGCACGAATCTTCACAAACCACTTTTGACACATTTAATCAGTCACAGCACCTTCTCCATATGCTGCACAATTCTTTTTTGCATTTCAGTTGCATTTTTACCTTTCTTGAAATAATAAAGCATAGCATGCTGAAAATGTGTCTTTTTTCCATATTCAATGTTAAAATGGCTGCACAAAAATTCACTGATTTTGGTAAGAATTTTTTAAAAATGCATGCTGATATGATAGCTGTCACAATACAATCCAACAAAATTGTTTTGAATGAAGTTCAAGACAACTAAACACTCCTAGAGCCATTGTTCAGAAAAACTAATCGAACTTTTTGGCCAACCCAAAAGTTCTACTTTTAGTTTTTCTGTTGGAACAACTGGAAGTTTTATTTCCAGTTACCACTGGAGTCATATACATTGAGAAATGCTTATTGAAAAATGACACACATTTTTGGCAGGGTGATAACCCTGGTTACCAAGCATCTATATGACATTTACTCTCAGCTCTTCATTCATGCAGCAGAGGTAAGTCCCTGCTTAACCACAGGGGGATATGTTCCAACCCCGGTGGATACCTGAAACCACAGATGGTGTTGAGCTCTCTGTATCCTGCACGTACATCTTTTTCCTGTAACACATACCTGTTATACAGTTTTATTTATAAATTAGGCACAGCCATTAATAAAATAGAATAATTATATCAGTATACTGTAATAAAAGTTATGTGAATGTGGCATTATTAATTAAGTAGAATAAGGGTTACTTGAATAAGAGCACTGGGATAACAGGGCAGTCGATCTCATAACCGAGATGGCTACTAAATGGCTAACAGGCAGGTGGAGTTTTTAGAATGGATACACTGGACAAAAGAATGATTCATGTCCTGGGTGGGATGGAGCAAACAGTAGGTGATTTCATTATGTTACTCAGGAATGTGTGCAATTTGACATGTATACATTGTTTATTTTTGTAATTTCCCATTTAATATCTTCAGACCACCTTGACCACGGGTAACTGAAACTGCCCTAAGTAGAGCCACAGATAAGGGGAAACTATTGTATATCTTTGAGGACTACTCCTCTCCCCGGTTTTTAAATATTAATGGAAATTGGTTCTCCAGAAAGAGTTACAAATAATACAGAATGATGGTATTAATGACTTTTTTAAAGATTCTAATCAGATCCCTGGCCCTGGGTCTAATCCCTGGTCTGGGAGTGTGTGGGAGGCAGCCAATTGATGCCTGTCTCTCTCTTTATCTATCTCTATTTCTGCCTTTCCACTCTTTCTAAAATCAATAAATATATCCTCGGATGAGGATTTAAAAAAAGATTCTAACCAGAATCTGAAAACTTTCCTAAATGACATATTATTTAAAAATGTGTTCTTAGCATAAATTGTTTTAATAGTTTTTTTGCTATAATTGCCATATAATCATACAGTAAACTGCACATATTTGAATGTTCAATTTTACCAGTTTTGACTAATGTGTATACACCTATGAAACATCACCATAATCAAAATAGCAAATATATCCATGATGCCCCTTTATAATCCATCCTTCCCACCTTTTCCTTCCCCATCCCAAGGTAACGGTGATCTGCTTTTTGCTACTATAGACTTCTTTCTATTTTTGAGAGTTTTTAAAAAACATATGGAATCATATGATATGTATTATTTTTTTGTGTGGCTTCTTTCATTCAGGGTAATTTTTTTGAGATGTAGCCACACTATTTGCAATAGCAATTCATTCCTTTTTATTGCTGAACAATTTTCTCTTGTAAATTTATACCACAATTTTCTTATCCATTTCCATGTTGACATATATTTGGGTGGTTTTCATTTTCAAGCTATTAAATATAAAACTACTATTCAAGTACTAGTTTTTGTATAGGTATGTGCTTTGATTTATCTTGGGGACATTCCTAGGAGAAGAATGGCTATGTAATATGGTACATGTTTGTTTAATCTTGTAAGAAGCCACCAACTGTTTTCTAGAATGGCTGTATCATTTTATATTTCCACTACCAGTGTGTGAGAGTTACACTTGTTCCCCATCCTCACCAGTACCTGGGATAGTCATTGTTTTCAGGAGCTATTCTAATAGGTGTGTAATGGTTTTTAACTATAGTTTTAATTTGTATTTCTCTGATTAATGATTCATTGTTAATCTACCATTGTTTCATGTTCTTATTTACCGTTGTATATCTTCTTTGGTGAAGTGTGTAGTCTGACCTTCTGCCCATTTCTTATTTGGATTATTTGTTTCCTTACTGAGTTTTGAGAGGTTCTTACGTTTTCTGGATACAAGCCCTTTACCAGATAGGTGCTTTACAAGATGTGCTCCCAGTCTGTGGCTTGTCTTTTCATTCTTTTAAATGTTTTTGAATTGTAGAAGTTTTTAATTTTAATGAAGCCCATTTTAACAGTTTTGGGTTCTGCTTTTGGTGTCATAGCTATCTAATAAAATCTTTGCCTAACCCAGGGCCATAAAGATTTTATCCTATTTGTTTAATTCTAGAAGTTTAGTTTTGGGTTATATCTTCAGGTCTGTGATCCATTTTGAGTCCTTTTTGTAAATGGTGTAGGACATGGATTGAAGTTTTTCTCTTTTTTTTTTTTTGCATATGGATAGCCAGTTTTTCCAGCCCCATTTGTCAAAAAGACTGTCTTTTCTCCACTGAACTGCTTTCAAATCTTTGTCAAATTTCAATTGGTCATATGTATGCCAGTTGTCCATTTTAACAAGTCTTGAAATCAGGTAATATTAGCCCTCTACTTTGTTTTTGAGTGGTGTTTTGGCCATTGTAAGCCCTTTACATTTCTATGTGAATTTTAGAATTATCCTGTCAAGTTTAGAGGAAGAATCCTGCTGGGATTTTTATTGGTAATGCATTGAATCTATAGTTAAATTTAGGGAGACTTGTTCTCTTAACAGTATTGAGATGTTGAGACCTAAAACATCTTTGAAGTTGATCTTCACATCTTTTAAATTTGTCTCAGCAATATTTTTTGTTTTTACTACATAAGGCTTTCATCAGATTTATCCCTAAGTATTTCATAATTTTTGTGCTTATTATTGTTTGTTTATTTATAATCCTCACTCAAAGATATGTTTTTATTGATTTTAGAGAGAGAGAGAGAGAGAAATATTGATGTGAGAGAGAAACGTCTTGTCAGTTGCCTCCCATATGCACCGAGACTGGGGATTGGACTTGCAACCTAGGTATGTACCCTGACTAGGAATCAAACTCACAACCTTTTGTGTATGGGAACAATGCTTCAACCAACTGAGTCACCTGACCCGGGCTCATAATTGTTTCAAAGTTTTAATTTGTGATTGTTGCTAACATACAAAAAACGTAGTTGAGTGTAGATTTCATTGGATTTTCTACATAGACACAGTTTTATTTCTTCATTTCGATCTGGATGCTTTTTATTTCCTTTTCTTGCTTGATTGCACTGGCCAGCACTTCCACTACAGTGTTTAATTAGAAGCGATGAAAGCAGATGCACTTGTGTTTTTCATAATCTTATACAGGGTCATCACCTGTATGTTGTGTGCCATTGTTCAATAAGTATTTTTCAACTTGAATGACTTCAGTGGTAACTGAAATTAAAATTTCCAGTTGTAACAGAAAAATAGAAAGTGGAACTATAATTAATAACAGAATAAAATTCTCACCCTAGCAATTAAGAATTTTCTTACCTGAAGAGTATTTGCTTTAGTGATTAATAAAAGAGAGGAACTGATATTCAGTGACCAGGTACTGTGTGCTAAGCACTACTTAATATTATCTCCTGTAACACATACTGTCATCTTATGAGATAGATAGTATTGCTCTCATTTCACAGACCTGAAGCACAGAGATTATTTCCACGTTCCTGCACCCAATGACTTTGATTGAAACCAAAGGTCTATTTAATTCAAAAGCCAAGAATACCTCACTAACAATAACCATTCTTAGAAATGTAGTGATGATATTATTATTTCCAAGATAAATTTTCCAACCAGTTATTGACATGGTTAACTATCAAGCAACACTTAATTTCTTCTTTGACCCACTGGCTATTGAGTTACATTATGTTTAGTCTCATGTATTTCCCTTTTCTCAGTTTTCTTCCTCTAACTGATTTCTAGTTTCATGCCATTATTGTCGGAGAAGATACTTGATATGATATCAATTTTCTCAAATTAAGTAAGGCTTGCTTTGTGATCCACTGTGTACTTGTCAAAATATGTATTTTGCAGTTTTTGAATGAAAGGTTCTGCATGTGTCTATTAAGTCAATTTGGTCTAATGCAGCATTTAAGGCTATTATTTCCTTATTGATTTTCTGTGTGGAACTTCCAGTGACATGAGTGAGTTGTGAAAATCCCCTATTATTGTATTACTGTGAATGTTCCTTTGTGACCATTCATAATTGCATAAATTTTAGTGCATAGATGTTTATGATTGTTATATTCTCATCTTGGATTGACTGTTTTATAATTATGTAATATCCTTATTTGTCTTTTTTTACATTTTTTTGTTTTAGAGTCTATTTTGTTTGATATGAGTATTGCTACATCATCTTTCTTTTCAATTTTCAGTGAATTATCTGTTTTTAATCTATTCAGCCACTTTATATGTCATTGAAGCATTTAATCCCTTCACACTTAAAGTAATTATTGATAAGCATATACTTATTACCATTTAGTCAATTGTATTTTAGTTTTGAGTTTTCTTCTCTTGCTCTCTTCCCTTTTTGTTTTATTACTGAACAAAAATGGGGGTTCAACTGGCCGCTGCCACAAAAGGCAAATTCTAGAGTCAGAGGCTGGTAAGAAAGGAAGAAGGTTTTTATCCGAATGCTGAATGATCTGGGACCTTGGGGAGCTCCCCATCTCCAAGTGCCTCTCCTCTGCTAAACCCAGACAAAACCTAGCTGTCCTCAGCAAGATCAAGACAAATGGCAGCCCAGAGTTCCTGCTCCCTTCTAAAGTACAGTTCTGTGGAGCCCCGGGCGACTGCTAAGCAGTCATCCAGGTAGCTTAGCTTGTTCCCAGCTGCTGTCTGGCTTCAGGTTCCCTCCTGGAGCGAGCATGTGGAGCCAGTGTGGCCATGGCCATGCATCAGCTAGGGCCACAAGGTCCTGTGCTCCTAGGCCGGAGAGCACACGAATGCCCCGGTGAATGTTTCACCAGGTCACAGAAGGGGAGAGAAGAGGGGGAGGAAGAGAGGGAGAAGGAGAGACATCCTCTCCTGGAGGCCAGCGCACCATCTGAGTGCAGGTCTTGAACAGCAGCTAGGGGTAAGTGAGTTTCTTGGTTCTCCTGGGTTTATATTACTTTCTGGTGGAATGAGGGGCTTTGCTTGCTCCACCTCCCAACCAATCCCTTCTCTCCCTGGGCTAGACTGGCAGGTATCTTTGGTCCAGTACCTCCCCTGCTTCCATTTTGATTTCTGTTGCATAGGTGCCTGCCTTCCCCTGTTTTCATCCCCTATCTGGTACCAGAATGGGTCAGAGGTCTTTTTTTCCTCTTAATCGATTACCTTGCTAGCCTTTCTCATGCTCAGTGTAAGAACCGTCTCCTGCCACTGCATGGCTGATGGGGGAGACTCCCATGTCCTAGTCCTGCATGCAGTAAGTTGCCCGTATCTGTGGCCCACCAGCAGAGGAATGAACCCTGGAAACCCTGCACAGCCTCTTAGGCAGAATGCTCCTCAGTGGGAGGGGCTGGGAATCAGCAGCAAAAGCCAGACCTTTGCACCTGGGCAGGGCATCCACAAGGCATGCTCTCAGTTACTCCTCAACGTGGCTTCATAAAGGCTCTGACCGGCTGCAGGCCACGCCCTTAGTGCTCCAGCCTCTGACCGGCCTCCTGGAGGAGCATGGCTGGTGCACAAGTGGCTCCCATATTTCAATCCCATGGCCTAGCTCCATTTTTCCTAGTGGCCCCTGCTGTTCCTTAGCCCACTTCCAGGGTTCTGGACAGGTTGTTTGTTGGTATCACTTTGCTAGTTTTTACAGTTTTTGTTTTGGTGACACCCTGTTTTTCCTGCTTGTTCCCATTGTTCCCAAGGCAGAAAGCTCAGGGCAGTGTAGCTGGGAACAGCTGTGGTGATCTTGCAGATAAGTCAGAGCCCAGGAATAGAGCACCCACCCACCGTATGGAAGTGGGGGGAAACAAAAAATGGTCCTCACTGGCTCCTCCTGACCACAGAGTTCCTGCAGCTCCTGTTGCTTCCCAGCCTCCTCTATTTGGTCTCTTTCTCTTGTTTGTTGTTCAGATGCTGTTTATTCAGCTTTCTGTTGTACAAGAGTAATTGTTGTCTATATATGAGTTTGCTCATGGGAGGGGGTGAAGAGAGTTCAGTGGCCTTCACTGCCACCAACCTGGACCTCTAATGATTTACACTGTTTTAAGTTTTTATTTTTATTTATTTTTAGAAAGAAGGGAAGGAAGGGAGAAAGAGAAGGAGAGAAACGTCAATGTGTGACAGAAACAGATTGGTTGCCTCTCGCATGCTCCCAACTGGGAACCTGGCCTACAACACGGGCAAGTGCCCTAGCTGGGAATCGAACCGATCACCCTTTAGTTCGCAGGCCAGCACTCAATCTACTGAGCCACACCACTATATTTTAATTTTTAATTTACTATGCTATATATGCAGCACAGTAAAGAAAAGTAAAGTAAATATACTTTACTTATAAGGAAAAGTAAAAAAATATGCTTGGTTTTCACAACTTATAATAGGACTTTTAAGCTTGACTTCAGAACAGGAGTATGGCTTATAAAATTCACTTAATGCATTTATTTTTGTGCCCTTTCCACAGGTTTTGCTTCCCACCATGGCTATCACACAGTTTCGGTTATTCAAAGTTTGTACCTGCTTAGCAACAATATTCTCATTCCTCAAGAGATTAATATGCAGGTAAACAAATTTTATGTTCAGATTGACCTATTTATCTCCTTTGTAGTTGGATACCTTCATAACTATAAAGCAGCAGGACAGACTATATTTAAAGTAAATTTCTTGATTATAGTATTCATTCACTAATCTCTGGTATTTCTAAAATATTTTTTCTCCACTTCAGATTTTTTCTTTGAAAATCATATTAAAATAACATTTCTAGCATTGTAGAATTTCAGAAATAAGCAAACTAATTTTCATTATTAAAATTATCAGAGGGTTTTGATGTATACGGTTGTTTCATATCAGAATGTCTTAAGATGGTTAGGTGGAATTAGGCATAGATGTTTCTTTATAGACTACAATGTGAATGTTATTTTTATATTTTAAAAACTTTAACAGAAAAGCCCCAAATAAAATCATTTATTTTTTAAACTTAGTTTCAAATAATACGCCATAATGTATAGGCAGTGCCAGTCAGAAAAGTCATCCTGCTTCCTTAACTCATCCAGAGACTGGAATTCCCTGTCTGCAGTGTCTAGACCATGTGTTCAGGTACTTCAGGTCTTCGCACTGAACTCACAGGAGTGTCAGAGGGCATGTTTAATTTTCCAGCAAAGGCCAGTGAATGTAATAGTCAACATCTTTTAATTGCTGTGCAAACTACCGGCTCAAAGAAGTTCACATTTGCAACATTTGATCCTGTAGCACTACTTTTGAGGATGTTCTTAAATGCTTGAGATAAGTTTTTGTTTACTTGTATTTTTGGTGACTTATCTTTGCAAAGCTAGAATTTTAGACTAATTAAAAGCAAATACTGAACCAGAATTACTGTGGAACAGAAAATGAGGGTGGTGATATCCAATCTGATTCCAAGGCTTGAGGAGTTGTGCATTGTCCAAGTTGTGCTGTGTCTAGCAGGCATGCACATTCTGTTAGCAAGTCAGCGTGCTTAAAAATGAACCAATAGTATTATTTTTCTTAAAATCAATAATGTATTTTTTTTTTAAATGGCTACTAAGCAGTTGGGACATACTAAAGTGATAAGTTGTGTGGGCCTACTTACATAATCAGTGGAACTATTTCTTTTGACCTAAGGATATTGGCACATTAAGAGTAGGGATTGGAGGGCAATCAGCTCTCTTTTTCAGTGGACGTGATTTAGATGTTGCACAGAACAGTTCTGTTCTCAGCTTGCTGTCCAGAGCTTAGTTATATATGGCCCCCTAGCTGCAAGGAAGTGTTCTCTAGGAATGTATTCTCTAGCAAAGTGGCCATTTTATAGTTACCAAATCACTGAAGGTTAAGTGGCATTGAATTTATTGTTAGAATTAGAGTGATCAAATTTTAGGATTTAAAAAAGGACAGGGTGGGGGGTGCGTTCAGGATATGAGGACAGGGTGGGGGTGTGTGTCCGTAGGAATAAGTGGAGATAATTGCTGGATAAGAAGAGATCAAGAAAGAAATGGGAAATTTAGGTGATTGTTGAAGTCACTCAGGAAGAGGACAAGATTTGGGAAATAGGAAAAAGTGCTCAAAATCGTTCAGACATGAGGACAATGGCCAGAAATTCACTAGGTAAAGCATCACAAGAATGGATATTAATTGCCGGAAGTCCGGAAGTTAAAAGAAGTAGTTGTGTTAACAGTAGTGGAAATTAGAGTGTTTTTCTCTTGAATCTATATTTTCTAAAACATCTATTGAACATAGATTGCTTTTAGTATAAGAAACTACATTTGATTTAAAAATATTAAGGACATTTCTTTTGTCACATAAATTCCTACTGTCTATATAAATACACTTAGGATTGATTTTATGTTCAGTTTTTTAAAAAATTGACCCTTTTTTAGAATAAGCTTTTCTTAAAGTATCAGAAGGAACCTAGATTATGTGCTCTAAAATACCAGGTTTACATCATAAATTTAGTAGTAGACTATTTTCTATTTATCCTTTAAACAAAGTTTGATTTCTAATTTTGTAGTAAAAATAGCAGATTTTGGCAATTAGATCTAATAGAGGCTTTATAGATTATTTGAAAAGAAGCAAGTGACTGATCATTTATACTTGCTACCTTTTCTAAATATCTTATCACATAGCAGGTACTATCTAGTTGTCTAGTTGCTTTAATTATTATCACATAATTAAATCCTCACAACAACCCTACACAATAGGTTTAATACCTGCATTTTACAGGTGAGCATTTTGAGGCTGAGAGGTTAGATGATTCCAACCAGACTCGTAATGGAAATAATATTGAAAATCATGGTTTATACAGGTTGTATAGCCCATGCTTTCAACATCTGAATTATACCTATCTTGTTTAATATAGTACTTTTCCTACTACTCTTTAAAACTTATCAGTTACAGTTTAGTTCAGCCCAGTGATTTTCAAATGTCTTATTAATTTGATAGGTGAACTTTCCAAGAAGCCAAATGTGTAAACAAAAGCCAAGCCTCCCTGGTTGAAACAGCACGGGTGTCCCAGAGCCTCACTTGTAGGAATCACAGATATCTAAGTTGCATGATTTGAAACCGCTGCATTTTTATTTTTGGCTTTATATTCTCCGTGAGTTTGTCTATAATTCAGAGTTCTAAGCCAAAAAGCAGTTATGCTTATTGTATGATCCAAGATTTTAAATACCTAAGATACCTGAAGCATGCTTTTTTGTTTCATATCTTAATGAGAAGCTGTTAATTGTTAAATAATTCTAAATTCAGAAAATATCTTTTATAAGCCTTAAGTTACTGTTCACAGTGTTTTTACCAATGCTTGCTTTGGTAGTTCTTGAAATAAATTATTTCATTTTTGTTTTAGGTCTGGCAGAGGACGGAAATTAAGTGGAGACCAGATAACTTTGCCAACTACAGTGGATTATTCATCAGTTCCAAAACAGGTGATTTTCTTTAAAGTTTGAATAAATGTTCCAGAACCATATTTTTCAGACTGAGTTGCAGATCCTTTACTATGTCACGAAATTAATTTGGAAGTCAGGGTCTTGATTTTTGTTGTTACAAATTTTGATTATACATTTTTTTCTGGTTCCTTATTTTCTATTTTTTTGCTGAGATCTTCTCTTTTTTTATTGGTTTCAAGAGCATTTGCTATTGCTTGTTAGAACACATTTACAATAGTTATATTAAAGTCTTAGATAATTCCAACATATATATCTTGATTGATTTTGTCCATATGAGTTGAGATCCCTTGCTTCTTTTTGTGCTGAATAATTTTGGTTATTTCATGGACATTCTGAATATGTTTGAGACCCTTATCTTGTTTAAATCTTATCAAGAATGTTGACATTCTTTAGTTTATCAGGCAGTTGACCTGGTTAGGCTTAGGCTGTTAGTTTCGGTCCTTTTGTTGGCTGTAGTTCTAATGTCCATTCAATTTTCAAAGCAGTGTTTGTTTGTTTGTTTGTTTGTTTTAAATGGATAGAACAGAATGTCTACCTCAGAGTAAAGGTACTTTTTTAAAACTTTTCATGTAGTTTTGGTATGTGAAATAAAATTTTTGTTTCCGTATTGGTCAAAAATGTTTGACAGCTAATGTTTTAGCAAGCCAATTTTTCCAATAAATGATGAAGGAGATTGCAATTAGGTTCACCCTGCGTGACTGACATTGTCGATCAATTAACTTCAGACAGATGTCGAAGAGTGGACTTCCTGGGATGAAGATGCGCCCACAAGTGTAAAGATTGAAGGAGGGAACGGGAATGTGGCAACACAGCAGAATTCTTTGGAACAACTGGAACCTGACTATTTTAAGGACATGACACCAACTATAAGGAAAACTCAGAAAGTATGTTAAAGATTTGTTTTTTTTTTAGCAATTAAACTGCTTTTCAGATTCCCATAGTGAAAATTAGATAGTATTCTAATAATTAGTATTCTGAGAAAGCCTGTTTCTAATTATTAATATGTTGTATCTGTCACCTTGAAGATGAATTTTATATATTCAAGTGACCCGGACACAAATCTAGTAATCTGTGCTCCTTTTAAAATTATATCTAAACATTTATTGAAAGTCTACTGTATATCAGAGCCAATATTCCAGTGTCTGCTGTGAAGGCTAAGTTGAATAAGATACAGGTCCAACCTTGAAAGAGGTCACAGTTTAGTGATGTCAGCAAACTGATGAGTGTTTTCCGTTGTTCCTAACGTAGAGTTGAGAACTTGGAGTAATTGTTGTGGGTTTGTGTTAGTCATTCATACTTCATTTAATCCCTTTTGAGTTAAATATGGATGCAGGGATATAAGGGAAAAAGAGCAGTGGCTGAGTATTTTTCTTTTTTAAAACCAAATAGAACATATACTTGAAAAAATATTTCTAAATCATAGACTGTGGAAGAGCTTATAGAGAAAAGCAACAGACTTCTGCCCCATCACTCTTCCTGGGCAGCTTTACCTCCCAGACGCAGCCACTAGTGACTTTTTCTGTTTGGGCTCACACCGCTGTGTCTTGACTTACCATTGACAGACACTGTCCACTGACTTCATGCCATGGTAAATGAGGGTTTATTTCATACTGCCCTTGCCCTCTTCCCTTTCTTTCAAATTTTATAATGTTATTATTCCAGTCGACTTCACCAGTCACTCTGCTATTAAAAAAAACCCTTAAAAAGTTCTATTTCTTCAATCAAGCATAGAAAATATTTCTTATAAATACACTTTATAAAATAAGGACCTTATTTATTCTACCTTCTTCTACCTTTCATCCAGTTTCAGCTGTGTATTTTTACATTTTCAAGACTGATAAATTTATATTCTGTAATCATAATTGCTTTTGTTGAGTTTTCCAAATGTCTCAGTGCTGAAAAGCATTAAGTTGTATATATTTTAAGGAATTGAAGTGAGTTTCTTAGTATTTTGGAAATATATTACAGCTCTTAATAATAACCCAGTATATTACAATAGTACCTTAATAAATTAATTAGAATGAAAATCCTTTCTTGCTTGCTCTGTACATGTGGAAATCTATGAATTTCCACATGTACAGAGAGCTGGTTATACTTTTGACAGGACATAATACATATTCTTATTTAATACCGTAACTAAAAGTACCTAATATTTTGGGGATCTAGAGTCTGGGAAAGAGGAAGGAGAAAGAGGAAAATTTATTATTTTTTTTAAGTGAAATACAATGTTTCTCGGTATGTAACTGATCCATGTGACAATTGCCTGAAAATTGTGGTGCTTTTATAGACTATTTAAAAATTTTCTTACGTTGTGAATTTTAAAAGAAGACGGGACTATTTTAAATAATTATAAAATGCTTTGGTCAGTAAATTATTTTGTCTCTCTTTATATAGTGATGTATAAAATATTCGTATAATTCTATTTCAATTAACCTTGCAGATCATTGTTAAGAAGAGAGAACCAGTAAATTTTGGCATCCCAGACGGCAGCACAGGATTCTCTAGTAGATTAGCAGCCACACAGGACATGCCTTTCATTCATCAGTCAGTAAGTATATCAGTGGTATCTAAGCAAGGGTTGGTTTTGATTCTGTTTTCTTTAAAGAAGAAATAATAAAAATGAATTTAACTTAGTGTTTGTCTTAATATTTCTGTGAACCAGGTTGAGCAGATTGAGAGAGGTGGATCTGGTCTTTTACTCTTCCTGTCCTTTCAGAGATTGTAAATTACATCTGATAATACAGTCACAGTCCCATTGTACACATGAGAGATAGAAACAAAATGTTACTCGAAAATATGACATGTAAAGACATTACCACTAAAATGTAACCATAATAGCCCGTTTTTTTTTTAAGTGAGTTGTATTGTTTCCCTAGTAGCTTTTATTTACTTTTAAAGTGTGATTTGAGTTTAAATGTGTTTGACTTAAATGCAACACCTTTAAGGATAAAAGTAAGGAGGAAAGTATATAACTGTGGTTCTTAACCTTGGGAAACATTTCAGAATCACCTCTGAACTTTTTAAACCGCTAAGGTCCAGCCCTAAGTTTAACTGTACTTTGATTGATTATTGATTAGTAATTATTAATTGGTTATATGAGTCATCTATTGTTGTGTAACAGCCCCACACTTAAACAACCGTAAACATGTTTCTTCTCACGCAGTTTGTGTGGGTCAGGAATCCAGAGGAGACTAAACCGGGTGGTTCTGGCTTGGGGTTTCTGATGAGTTTCCCGTAAGTCATTAGTTGGGGCTATGGTCATCTGAGGATTCATTTCAAGGTGGTTGGTTCACATACATGCCTGGGAAATTCATGCTGGTTGGCCACACGAGCCTCAGTTCCTCACAGTGGAGCTGTTTATGGGGCTCCTTGCATTTCCACATGACGTAATTGCTGGCTTTCCCATAACAAGTGATCCCCCCAAAAAAGAGAGAGAGCATGCCAGGGGTGAAGCCACAAGACCTGTTTGTAACTTAGTCTTAAAAGTGACACACTGCAACCTCCACATTAGTTTATTCATTGGAAGCTAGTCACTAAATCCAGCCCATGCCCAAGGGAAGAAAATTACGTTCCACCTCTTGAAAGGAGTATCAAAGAATTTGCTGGCATAGTTTTAAGCCACCACATCTATCTATTTATCTATCTATTCCATTTGTTTAAACTGCACAGGTTCCTTTCTGTCTTCAGGGGACCTGTGTTTATTATGTTTCTTATTCATTGATCAAAAACTATTTTTGCTAATGCCAGATGCTGTGCTAACGCGCTAGTAAGGTGGTGGGAAGTGAGCAAAACAGGCAAGGCCCTTGCCTTAGAATATGTGTTCTCGTGGGGAAGGCACAACATTAAATTACATGATTACACATGTGATAAATATTACAGATGTTGATAACTCCTTTGCAGGTACATGCTATTATGATAGCACAATAGCAAACAGATATTTCTCTAAAAGAGCACAATCACCGGAATGTGTCATTTTTATTTTATATATCTAAATTGTAAACATTATTCATGTACACATGCTCTAGATTGGTCAAGTTGTTTAGACCTTACCAGTAAATTAGTACATGTATACCACCTAACAGGAATTGTAAGATATTATAACATTAATATAGCTCATAAAGTTATAAATACATAACTGCTGACAGAGATGGGGAGGGTTAAAGAGTGTAGATAATGTCTCCAATGCCTTTTCCACACATCTTCCTCCCAAACAGACAAAACAAAGAGGAGTTGCCTAGGAGAGAATGGTAACCTCCTGCACTTGGTTCGCTACACCAAAAGTATTTTACTATTCATTCCTCAAATAAAGTTCTTCTTTTAAATTGCACATTCTATTTTTTTGGAACTTATTTTTATTGTTGTGATAAGTAGGACAGGCAAAAGTAAGTACAATATAGAAGTACCCTGATAAAGAATACATTTTCCCTGATTTGTCATTTTTGCTTGGGACCCAGACAGTAAGTGCCACTGAGAAATCTGCACACTGATTCTGCTGAAGTGCAGGTGGCTGTGCTGGTCTGGAAACTTCGGATCTTCCTGTTCACCTCCCGGCTCAGACTCGACCAGTCAGCACCTCTGACTCCGCCTTCCCTTGCCCCACCCCAACCCCCAGCCCTTCCTCTGACTGAAAAGAAAGAGAAACAGTTGTTTTACTCTTGTCCATTCCAAACTAAAATGGGCAAAAAAGAAAAGTTCATGGTAGAGGAGTATTCTTTGAAACAACATGGGAAAAAAGCTGGACTTGCCGGGACTGTAGCTGGAACCCCTCAGTTCCAGGCAGAGAGGGCACAAATCGTTTGGGCCTCGTGTAGGACTCGGGGAGACACGGGGGGATGAGAGATGCTCTTCTTGACTGCGCAGGGGACAGAGAATGGCTCTTCACAGGTATAATTTTGTTTTGTTTTTTATTGTAGCCTGAATTAGGTGACTTAGATACCTGGCAGGAAAATACCAATGCTTGGGAAGAAGAAGCAGATGCAGCCTGGCAGGCGGAAGAAGTCCTGAGGTACTTAGTAATACATACATTGCCACCTGCAGAGAAGTACTGGGTTTGTTCACGGTGCCCTTCGGGTCGAGAAAGCTTACTCTGCCACATGTTAAATTCTTTATTCTCCTTTGAATCTTAGATAACGCGGGATGCTTTTGTTTGTATTTCAGACCACAGACGCTATTTTATATGCTTAAAATCTCATAGAAACCAAGAATTTAAAGCATGATAGAAGCAAAAGAATAGTTTTGTTAATGGCAGATAAGAAATTGATGTACACAAAAGCCCTGTAAGGTGATAATGGAAGTCAGAAAAATATACTGGAGGTCTGTAGGCTCATTTTCATTGGCTATTATGTTCTTGTTTCTTTTTAAGATTGTATTTATTTACTTTTAGAGAGAGGGGAAGGGAGGGAGAAAGAGAGAGAGAAACGTCATTGTGTGGTTGCCTCTCACGTGGCCACTACTGGGGACCTGGCCTGCAACCCAGGCATGTGCCCTGACTGGGAATCCAACTGGTGACCTTTTGGTTCTCAGCCTATGCTCAATCCACTGAGCTACACCAGCCAGGGCATGTTCTTGTTTCTTTGTTTTGAGTAGAAAATGTAATTCTTGCTCCTGCTGGATTGGGTCAAACAGTAAAAAGAAAATTTACCATATGAGAGTTTGTGACTATCATCACTGATGAAAACTCAGTTGTTTAAATATCTAAATTACTTTGCAGTTTGAAAGGCTATATAGTAAAATACAGCTCTATAAATTTTTATTTTAAAAGATTGTTTTTTTTAATAGAGATAGAAAGTGAATTGCCCTTTATTTGACTATTTTAACAAAACAACCAATTTCATTTTTGTATTTCCCTTTCATTTCTTTATCAGTAAATTACTATTACCTTGAGCAACCAGCAGAGGGTGCAGTTAAGTAACTGGGAGTCATGCCTGACTTTTTTTTCCTCTTTTGGTCTTGCCCTTGTTTTCATCAATTTTTCCCTCACAGTTAGGGGTCCATTTTAAAAGTCAATAAAGTTATGAGAGTTTTAAATATTTACTTCCTATCTGATTATTGTTCAGTATAAAGAAAGTATTTTAAAAATTCTAAACTGCAGCATTTGTATTGTATGGATCATCAGAAAAGATAAACCACCTTTTTTTTACTCTTTTTTGGATAAATCATAGATATTGAGTTTTGAGTATTTAAAACATTTTGGGCATTCGTGTTCTTAACTCACAAGAATAATGGAAAGGGCTGTTCATTCGGAATCCAGTAATGTTAATGATGGCACTATAGAGCCTATGAATTCACATGTTTCTCTACACAACCTTCTGTTCCCACCCTGTCCTTTTGTGTCCTGCCTGAAACAAGACCAGACACCCACACTTAGTGTTTTGCATGCTATCACAGCTTGGGAGAGGGAGCCTGGTAGTCAGGAGAGACATGCTTCATGCTGCCAGTTGCATGAGTACAGCCACAGAGACATGGTGCCTCCTTTACATCCCCTGAATGAACAGTGTGAATTTGAAAAGTGTGTCCATACTCCAAAGCCTGTAACTTGGCCTATTTCCCATTGCCCCTTTGAAGTCCCAGCACTACTGTGATCAGTATCGTTAGGAAAGAAGACTTTGGTACGTTAGTAATTCCAGACATGTGTCTGGACGGGGAAAATATGTTTTGTCTGCAGTAATCTTTAAGTTTCCTCTTGTGTCAGAAACATCAGTTGTTGATATTTATATTCCAGCTACTGACCAGGTCAAAGCTTGATTATCTTAGTTGTTTATAACCTAGCCAGCTTTTTATAATTTTTGTCCCTCTCTCCCTTTTTACTGTGGTCATATTGACTTGTTTAGTGCAGATTATCAGTTTTGCTTGAAAGTGGGAAGAGCTAGTGAGAAGTAGAGTTTTAAAAACTATTCTTTTGAAACTGTAGTTAATTGGCAGTGATGGTCAAAATGTTGCGTACAGTAAGTTTCTGCTTTTTTGAGTTTTGGTCATTTGTAACTCTGCTTACTCCCAGTTATAAGTGTGAGTAAGATTTGCACGTACATTTTGCTCATGACAGTCAGCTTGCTGTCCCACTTGTAGGTGGTGCACACTGGGTTTTTCTGTGTACTATAACCTAATTTGCCTGCCCGTGCCAGCGGTGGCCTGCAGCTGTCTTCCTCAGCCTTGCATGCTGCTTATTTCTCGTAACCTAAACCTTCAGATCCGGGACCAACTTCCGCTCCTGCCCTTCAGTCTGTTGCATCACCCACTCCTGCTCTCATGATGTGTGATAAGTACATAGCCACCTTAATAAAAATTTCTGTTTAATCCTTAAATAGAAATCTAGCTTCTAGTTGGAAGGCCTGTCTTAAGTTTCCTTTTTTTTAAATTGTGTTCTGCAAGTCTCTGTTCTTGGCATCCTTCACTAACTGTTTTTTAATCGTAATAAAAGGAGGCTGAATCCTCTATGTTAGGCTGTTCAGATTGGTATCAAGAAAAGGATGCGGTCAAAGGGAAGTAGTGGTTTAGTGGGAATAATCTGAAGACGAGGGTCAGGAGATGTGGCTTCTTATCCTTACACTTAATCTGACAACTTTGGTCTCGTTACTTAGCCTTTGCGTCCCATTTTACTTATTTGTAAAATACAGATAATACCTCTTTTAATTTGTAAGTTATATTCTAAAGATTGACAGAAATACTTTTTTTGAAAATCTTTGACATTTAAAAGTGAAAAGAATGAAGACTTTTTACTTCCATTTGATGCTAGTAAAAAATGCACTGCTCTTTCCTTTTGGAATGTATCAGCCATTTTACTTGTGTGGTATTTGCTGAAGGTAAAAATAAGAATATGTTTCTTTTCAGGCAGCAGAAGATAGCAGATAGAGAAAAGAGAGCTGCAGAACAGCAAAGAAAGAAAATGGAAAAGGAAGCACAGCGGCTAATGAAGAAGGAACAAAACAAAATTGGTGTGAAACTCTCATAACAAATGTCCTTCAAATGTCATAGTGCCAGTAGGAGAAATTTGTGACCCACGACCCAAGCAACATTTGTATGGCTCTAAGAGCGTTTTCAGAATACAAACACACTGCTTGATTTCAGTGCATTCATCAGGCCATTCAGGACACCGGGATTCTGTCACAGTACTTTGAACTTTAGTGATTGAGGCTCAGAAGCGTGGAAAAGACTTACGAGACAATATTTTCTTCAACATGCTCCAATAGAAGACAATTGTGTGCCGTAGAGAAGCTATCACAAATGGAACATACCAGTACCTCTTCAAGCTAGTGTTTCTAGCTGAATAAATGGGTGTAAATAATTTTATGGTGGGAAAGAACTCTGCTGTCTATAATGCTTTCCTTCAATGTGCATAATGATAAAATAAATAATTTTAAGTATTTCGTTTCCATGACTCCCCACCCTCCATCAGACAGAGCTGCAGGGCTTTAACTTTCTTATCGTTGCCGGAAGCTGGTGTTGGCGTACGTTTCCTCTCGTTTGAACTGTTACTGTTTGTATTCGGTACAGCATCAAAGAATTCACTGATTTTGGTTTTCAAATAAAATGACATTAAATGCAATAATTTTATTTATCATAACGATTTTGTACATTTTTGTTTTCTTTAAGATGGTGTTGTAATGTTATTTATAATTTATATTGCATGTTTAAACACTGAAAATCAGATAAAATGGCAACTTTGTTTTACATTATTATAACGTGTGATTTTTAAAAACTAGTAGCAGTAGTTTTTCCCTTTTGTTGTAGATTTTAAGATGTTATGATCTCTTTGAGTACCTTAGTTCCTCCTCCCCAAAAGCCACTAACTTACAAATGCAGAAAGTCTTCAGCTCTGACATTTCAAAACTTTTAGATGATTTCTGTATCACATTTATATACCTGACATAACACAGGTTACCTGTGTTCTGGGCTAAGATAACATTGATTTATTAAATTATAGGCCAAGATTGGAATAACAGTGATTTTACTTTGGAGTGTTGACTGGCTCCAAAACAGTTTTAAGGAAATAAGATATATACAGTGTCCACAGGGAAAATGTAGATTTAATAGTTTAAAATCCTATTTTTTTTCTCCATAATTAAAATACATCCAGCCTGGTTTTCTCGGGCTTTAGAATTTTTGAAGACTTTTACTTTCTTAAAAGTTACCCAAAATTGACATTTTGTCAGTTTTTAAAATGTCATGGGAACTCGCTCTACAGGCCAAATACTGCTAATATACACGAATTAAAGTGATGCTTTATAATAGGATGACGAACTCTACAACGAGAGCTCCCTAAGTTGTTAGCTTCATCTTCCAGACTAAATGTGATTGTGGAATCAGCTGAAATCTAACTTTGGTAAAAAGCTTGTTTTTATAGCTGAAATCACATTTTCAGATACAGATTTATTAGGGAGTTTTTGCCAACAAACTCCCAGTAAGTAGAATTAGACTCAAAATTTTAATAATATATAAATGTACATTATCTTCCCTCGTTTGTATTTATATATTTAGTTGATATGGGGATACTACATGATTTTCTAAGCCTGGGGTTCGTAAAGGATACACCTCCCTGTTAGTACAATAAATTTTACTGCTTTTCCCTAATATATGACAAGTATTGAAGTCTGCTCTAGCTATAATTTTCATGTGTGTGAGATTTTGGGTTTTATTTGCTTTCTGTGTTTTTAGAAATAAAGACTGTTTAGAAATAAATACATCTGACAAACATTTCACATTAGCAAACTGGCTCTTTAGCTTCTAAATTTATGGTTTCTGTTTTTGTTCTCTTATTAAAAGAATTTTCTGTTTTAGAAGCTTGTTAGAAGACAGGCACAGGTAGAACAAGTGAAGGGCCACCCAGTATCTGAATTGTGCATTTCGTGTACTGAGATAAGTAATCAGACATCTGAAACTTAACTTTGTGTTTTGTTTTATATGCGCATTCATGGTCTCCAGCTATTTCCTCTTAATAAGCTTTAGCAAGAGATGTCCTCTTGTTGACTCTTGGCCCTTCTTAAGTAACATGAGTGGCATTTTAGAACTGACAATGAAGATTCAACTTCTGAGTTCCTCAGTTTTGACATGCACTTGCCTCTGGCCAGGGCAGCAACCATTCCTGGTTGAAGATAGGTGGTTGGGAAGGAGGGTGTAGACATAGAAACTGGCATCTGGATGATGGGGCTTCCCAACACCACTCCACAAGCTGCCACTCTTGTCTAAATCTAACCAATACCAATGTTACAAAAAGCCTAAATTTTCTCAATAATGATGTATTTACTGAAGAGTTGGTCTGAGCCCGATATGGCTGACATGCACATGTTTAATCCTTGGGGACAACATACTGTGATGATTTTCACACACTCCAACACCTTGTTCAAAGGAAATTGTTCATAAGGTGTGCAAGCAAATGCAACAGTACCCAAGTGAGTGGCTCTGGCTGAGGCCAGATGGAGGGGGAGGGGATGCAGTGCTCTAGGACCTACCGATTGTCCCAGGGAAGGAGCTTCCCTGCTCAGGTGGACTGGGGGGCTGCAGAAGATGGTGGGCCCTCGAGGAGCTTATTTTAGTAGCTAATAACTTGTTTTTACCATTTGCATAGATTTTTAAAAATTGAGTCACTCTGTCCTAATATCAAAGAGAGATCTTTTTAGTGTATTTAATTCACTTCTCTTTTGTACAACCAAGGCTGTTCAAGGTGACAGCACAGCCAATGACTCCTTTTACAGTCACCTGTTTTGCTTTTTACTTTGCTTTCTTCTACCTTTTATCTTCAGTGCTCCTTAGTCATGGCCATTGGTGATGCTCAGTAACTAGAGGAAGTTTTCAGAGTAGTAATAGGCTATTTCACCAGAAGCCTTGATCTTCAGGGCTGGAAAGAGACTGTATTCTAGGAACCCCCTTACCCCACCTCATGCAACTTATTTCTACCCTTGCAGAGCTGCTGCTGACACTGCTAGTCCACAAGCAGCAGTTTTTACAGAGAAACTTGCGCTACAGTCTGTGGCCAGCCCAAGACCATCTCAGCCATGGCTATTTATGCAGGTACTTTGCCTGTGTATTGATCTGATCACACCAGTTTTGAGAGCTGCTCAGAGTTCCCAGAGCTGCTGCAGAGATGGTGCAATATGACTCAAAGTGCCTGGGTTTGGAAATCTTTTAAATGGAGGTGGGTTTAGAGAGTAACTGAGACTGTAAACGCACATATATAAGCACTCGATAAATGGTAGTTGTTAAGAGGCCCTGTGCACACTTTTCCAAATGCTGGCCGTGCCCAGATATGGCAGCCTCTTCCCTGTGGAGAGTGGGAGCAGTAGCAGTATGACTTTTGCATGCCCTTATTTCAACCTGCCAACTTAATAAGAAAGAGAGCATTTATCATGTGCTCAGCACTGTCTGGGGGCCTTTAATTATATCAGCGACTCCTTGTAATCCAGTGAGGCAGACATTGTCCTCCTTACATATAAGGAAACCAAAACTTAGCAGGCAGGTGTGTGCTAGGTTAGCGGGAAGGAGAACAGCAAGTTTGGAGAGCAGGTTGCGTCAGTGGTCAATCAGCATTCTGTGTGGACTGATATTTTAGTGCCTCTTCGCTTGAAACTCTGAGCTGCGAAGGAGCCTTTAGAATTCCCCCTTGTTTTTATGAACTCAGTGAAGTCACAGTAGATAACACCCATTTGTGTTTTCTAAGAATTATTCAATGAATATGAAAGAAACTGGCTTCTATTTTCAGTAAAGGACAACTGTATTTGAATGGCAATGTCATGTAATTATGTATTCCAAGTTTACTTGGGCCAGATATTATAATCAGGGCAAAGTGAGGTGTGGTTTATATTCATACATTTGCATAGGCCAATTAGCCCACTCGATGGGGTCATAATGCTAATGAGGCCAAGGCCACGAGTCTCCTGTGTGTGCAGACCAGGGCTGTACCCAGTGACCTCCCTGCTACAAACTGTTCCTGACCTTGTCCAGTTATCCTTTTAACACGTGTCTTTGGGATCTGGTTCACAGAGTGATTGGCACAAGAAAAAAATTATCTCCATGCACAGAAAATTCAAAGGATGTACTCTGAGTCAGTGGTATATTGAGAGAAATTGTTATGGTTTCTTGTTCTTAGGTCAGTTTTGGCTCATTGCAAGATATTAACTGCTTCCTATAATTGGTTTCACTTGCTAAAATATTCAAACCCTAATTTGAATCCTTAATTTATACAACATTCCAGTTTTCAAACCTGTTGATTATTGCTGAATAAAATCAGTGTATACCTATTTTGTGGGGAAAAATGACATCATCATTAGATATGTTGGCCCTGAAATAGGTTTTTTTTAAAAGAACTTTGACTCAGTATTTATTGCAGATGAAGTAAAGTAAGGTGTGCATAAGAATACAGTTATATTTCAGTTGCCTCATTTAAAGTGCACAAGTGCTTTTTGAAGCTCTGCAATGCAACTGAACCTCCTAATTGCCTATCCCTCTTGGTTGGAAGCAATCCTTGTGGAATCAGCTTTTACATGGGTGATCATTTAAAAAATTTTTTTCCATGTACTGCTTTAAATGGGAAATGTGAAAATTATTAAAACTGCTTTCATTTTTCACTTTCTTTCTACAACCAATAAGCTGAAAATAATGTGCTGACTCAGAAGAACTGAAGGTCAGTTGAAAATGCCGGCACCCATTGTTTACTGGAGAGAGCGCAATCCATTTCAGACCCTGCAAGCTATTTGATTGCTAGGGAGGGAGGGAGGGTCTTCACGCACCATCAAATCAGAGAAATAGTGCCATTGTCAATAGTTTTCATGTTCCCGCCTGTTACGCCTGTATCCTGGCAAACACTGAATTTTTCAAAGCTATTTAAATAGCTTTGATCAGAAGTGACGTATTCAGGGAGCAAGAGTGAAAACATCCCTGCAGGCAGGTCAGATAGGATCAGCACCGGGAGGAACTCCAGGGCCTCCAGGAGCAGAGCCCTGATGCCTGCTGGTCACAGCGTTCTCTAGGGGAGCCCTGGATGTGGGTTTTGCGTCATCATTTTACTTCACCACAATCCCAGATGCTACGTGGCCTCTATTCACAGTGAGAGATCCTCTCCACAGTCAAACCACCAGAGCACTGGCAAATGAAGTGCGCTGAGGAAAGATTAGAAAACAACTCCATTAAGCCTTCGTTTAAGTCAGTAAAGGTTTGAGTCCTTTGGCATTACCCAGAGTACTATCTATTCCAGTGATTAACCTCTTTTCATCTCATGGCAGAAATAAACTAATTATTAAAATTCTGCAGCACACCAAAAAGTATATCATTTTTTGCCAATCCATTAAAAAAATAGGTATAATTTTGATTCATCCACACCAGACTGTTATTGTTGTGTCACCTGCTGTCATTTATTTATTTGACAATGTAAGGGAAAAGAGGTCAGTGGCCCTGACTAAATAGTCAGGTGTTGCATGTTTTAAAACTTCTTCCGGCACACCGGTTGAAAACTGCTGCTCTCTTCCAAAGAACGGAGGGTCGCCACGCAGATCTTACATGAAATGGCTTTCAAGCTGAACTCAGAGGTGACCTTGGAACCACCACAGAGGATGAGAGGGAAGCACGGGCTGGGCTCCAGGCCTGGTGCCCCTGTTCCCGAAACTTCACTTTTATATGGTTTATCTATTGGGCTTTTTATGTTGAGTATATTTTTTGAAAGAGATACACCTTTTACAAAACTTAAACACTGCTGAAACATCCCAATCATTTAACACAAATACTCCTCAAGTCTCCGAATGTTAAAGTTCTGTGGAAGCACTGTTACAACCATTAGTCGTCACAGTCCTTGTGATTGAGGGGGATTCAGTAGTCACAGCGAAGCCTCACTTCCAGCGGTTTAAAAATAATTACCTGATATCAATTTGAATTACTCTATTTGGACTTTCTAATTTTGGGGGTGAGGCACAGTTCGGAGTTTGTTGACATTTTTTCAAGCCCTTGTTGCTGAACACTGCTATGTTTAATTGCCTCGGGTACAGCTTCCTTCTGTGCATGTTGCCGGGTAAGACTGCAAAAAAGTGAACTTTGTAAAAGTGCTCATGGAGCCAAAATGGAAGTCAGAAACTACCCCAAGACTTTTAAAGTGGAAAATCCTCAAAAGAAAGACACATCAGACCCAACCACTACTTAGGCAGGGCCTCTGATAAACGCAAATCACAGACTTCCTTTTCTCCTGCCACAAATGTCAGAATCGCTTGGCATCTGAGTGCATTGCATTTTTTCCCCCTTTCTGAACAGCTCGACTTGGAAAGGTCAACATATCCCTTTGGGAGAAATCTTTTTTTTTTTTGCAAATTGGAATGTTTGCACACATAACTGGAGGAAACGTTTAACATTTGCCTTGATAGGACAGCAGTTTGTTCAGCAGAGTGGAATTGTTCTTTTTCCATTTGTCTGCCTGTTTGTACATCACAGGCACCAAATTACGGGAAGCAACTTAGAAGCACTTCTTTCTGTGGAATCAGATCATCCTGTCCACAAAAGCAGCCAACGCCTTGGGCTTCCGAAAGGCAAGCTGTGTTCCATCTTTTATTTACTCTAAGGGACTCATTTTGTGAGAGACTGTTGTGAATAAAAGCAGTAATTTTCCACAGCCTATACATACTAAAACCTTGGAGGAGAGTGCGGGGAGGAAAAGAAAAATGAGTAACTGCTACAGGACCTCCTGGCTTACCCCTGGACAGATTTGTGTCAGTGTGGATAGAATATGCAGTTAGCTTTGGTTGAAAGAAGGATGCAGGTCGTGAAGACAATGGAGCAAGTTTCTACCCATGTTCAGCAGCCTCCACTTTGATAACCAATATAAATATTTGTGGTTCATGGAGAATTCATCTTTCCAGAGCCCATCTTTCCATCTGTCTTGCTTTGATGAAGAACAGAGCTGAATTTGTGTAGTTATATTCATTTCTGTAGCAACAAGTGGAGATCAAAACCCTCTCCCCACCCTTAAAATTTTTCTTAAAGTAAAAATGCACTGATTTCGCAACAGCTCAAAATAAACATAAGGAGGGACTGTAAGGAAGATAACAACATCTACGTACTGGTTTGGGCTGGACTACAGGAAGGGACCTGAGTCAGCACGGCTCATTATTTTGGGACAGTTCCGGTTATTCACCTCCCAAAATAGTTTCCTTTCCATTTCAGCCAAATCCCTGTACTGCTAAGTGCCAAGTGCCTGTGTGTGTTCCAATGGAAGCTATGGCCTTTCAGAGACAAACCGCCTCTCTCAAGGACATCCTTGGGCCCTTCTCATCTTCTCAAGGGTTTCCCTCCTTCAGTTCATCCTCTCTCCTAAGTCATCAATTTCTTTGTCTTCTTTGGCTTATTCACAAAGTATGCAAAAGTGCTCTATCTCCTCTCAATGTTGAAAAATAAAGCAAACCCCTGTAATCCATATCCCCTTGTAACTACCGCCCACTTCCCCACTCCCCTTCACAGTAAAACTTAACAAAAAATTAGCTACATACATCCATGTCTGCTTTCTCTTCCAGTCACTGCCCCCTCCCCCCTCCAATCTCTCTTCTGTCCCCATGTCTCCAAAGAAATGATCTTGACCATCATGAAGACTTGGTGGTCAAAGCCAGTGGACATGTATCTGTTTCCACATTATTCAACTTTGTCGCAGGATTTCAATACAGCTGACCAATCTACTCTTGAATCGCTCTCCCCCTTGGTTTTCATAATACTACACTCACCTAGCTTACCTCCTACCTTTGGATTGCATTTTATCAGACTGTTTTGTTGGGGCTTCATCCTCTGTCTAAATGTGGAAGAGTCCCGGACTCAGTGTTTGGTCTTCTCTTCTTCTTTACATTCTCCTGGGATGACGTCATCCATCCCATGTTTTCAACTGGTATATACATGCTGAAGAACCCCAATAGAGCTCTCCCCTGACAACACTCATGATTTTCATACATATATAGACACATACACATGCACTTGATATTTCCACACAGATATTTAACAGACATCTCAAATTTATTTTCCCAAACTTGTTTTCTTGATCTGTTTATGTTCTCAGTCAATGGTACCACCGTTGACACAGGTGCTCAAGCTAAAAACCTGAGAGTCTTCCTTAACTTCTCTCCTCCTTAAACCCTACCTCACACCTTCCCCATATCTAGTCTACCAGCAAATCTCAACAGTTCTATCTTCAAAGCTGTAACTTGTTATTCAACTTAATCTCTGTATCTACTCTCACCTCAAATTGTCATAATTTCTCACCTGGACTATTTACAATGGACCCCCAGTAGACCTCTGAGTAGTCTCCTTACTTCCTGCCACTCCTGCCTGCTTACTACAATGCATTCTGGGGGAAGGAGGAGGAGGAAACCCAATTATATCGTTGTTCTGTTTAAAGTCCTTTAGTACTTCTCATTGCTCTGGCCATAAATTCAAATCAGCCCTACCCTGGTTACACGGCACCATATGAATTATCTTCTTGTTCACCTTTCCAAACCTCCCCTTCCCCCTCACTCTGCTCCAGCTGGACTGGCCTCCTTGATGCCCCTGTGAAATGTTGAGCCTTTTTCTGCCTCCTGACATTACTTTTGTTCTTTTTGCAACATTTTATTTGCCATAGTGACCAGTTCTTTTTCATTTATCAGTGGTAATGTTATTTCTTTTGAGGTGTTCCTTTCCCTTCCCCATCACTCTTGGTTAAAACACCTCATTTATGTCCTTGGAAGCACTTACTGCAATCTACTGGGTTGGCCAAAAAGTCCATATGGCTTTTTTCCATAAAATAGAAGACACACGTTTCATTTTCACCAATAACTTTATCTATTTGGATATTTTGGCTATGTTGACTATCTTCCATTTGCTTTAAGGTTCATTGATTGTTCTCAATTAATATTTTAATTTGATCACTGTTAATTTCAATTGGTCTACCTGACCATGGAGGAACACCCAGCGAGAAATCTCCAGCATGAAACTTCACAAACCCCACTTTACCAGTTTAATCAGTCACAGCACCTTTTCCATACACTGTGCAAGTCTTTTTTTGTTGTTGTTGTTCAGCTGTGTTTTTACCTTTCTTGAAATAACGAAGCTTAATATGCCAAAAATGTTGTGTATTTTCTTCCACTTCAATATTAAAATGGCCACACAAAAATTCATCAATTTTGATACATTTGTTAATGCATGCTGATATGACAGCTGTCACAATGCAATCTCACAAAACTGTTTTCAATGAAGTTAAAGACAACTAAGCGCTACTAGAGCCAGCTTATGGCAAAAACACACCAAATTTTTTTGGCCAACCCAGTAAAATGATCTTGTTCATTTGTTGGCTTGTTCTATGCCTTTCACAGGCAGAATGTAAATTCCTTGAGGGAAGAAACTGTCTCCTTCACTGCTGAAGACAAACCCAGTAAAGGGCCTAGTATGTGAGCACCCAAAAAGAATTCGTTGGATGGATTACTTCATTCAACAGCTATGTTAGAACCCCTCCCAAGAGTGTATGTGCCATATACTCTTGTGAACAAAATAGAACACAGATTCCTACACTCGGAGAGCTCATATGTTAGGGCGGAATGGGCAATAACCAGGACACAGTAGGTAAAAATATAGTTCTATGTTTAAAGGTGGTAAGTGCTGTATGGAAGACGAGTTTCTGGGTGAGAACCCCGGATCTTCTCCAGGTCTCTCCCCTTTGTGTGGTAAAGTGGAAAGGCATTGGCTTTTCAGACACCTGAAATCCTGGCTTCTAGAGATGAACTAGGACATCCTGAGCAATCCACCTCTTCGAGGCTCAGCCCCCTCTCTGTAAACTAGAATGGTACCCACCTCACAAGACTGGTGTGAGGAATAAATGAATATAGATAAAATACTGTCTCACCCACCCCTTTCCAGCCACCCACCCTCACCCTATTATTCCAGGAGGAGGAGGGCTTATGGTACTAGAATATTCTCCCGCTCTGCACCCTTAACATGCTTTTAGAAAAAAATCAGCTCAACTTTCCCAAAAATACTCAACACATCCTTATGGAATAAATATGTGGAGAAACAAGTGTATGGGTAATTTAAAAGCATACAAAGAACCAAAACTACTTTTACTCACAGACTATGCTTTTTTAAAATTCAGAGTAGGACATCCTTACCTCTGTTAAATAGTTATTTTCCCTTCTCCTCATTTCTTAAGGCAACCTCATTTTTACAGACTCCTACTGATAACCGTGGAAGGATCTGCTGCCCATTTAATCTTTGTTATATATCAAAGTGAAACCACAGAGGTAATTATTTTATAGCAGGATAAGACATCCATTTAACTGGAAACACTAATCTTTATTTTCATCATGCTGAAGTGTGTGGTTACAAACAGTTCCCAAGAAAACACTATATATAATAAGCAAAAAATAAGTTAATACATTGTAAACTTACATACAGTTTCATCAATTAACAGGTTTAAGAACAAACAAGCCATTTTAAGACTTTGGAGCTACATTTAGTAGAAAACTGCAAACACTCAAATCTGCTCAACCCCAAGTAAGACACTAAAGGACTAGTTAAGACTTCTTCAACCCAATGACACAAATACGTGTTTATTTTTGGTTACAGTCCCCTGCTGTGCACAAGACCATTGGAATGCTGGAACTATCACACATTTGAAAACGGCACAAAGCAAAGCAAGGAGATAACATGCCAGCCTTACAGAAGCTGTCTTGAAAGTGCAAACTTTGCATTTTCTCTTCCTGAACCACTAGGGAAAGAACGGGTACCTCGGACGACACGGCAGGGTCACGAGCATGCTTTCTACACCTCACGGGTGGGACATTTACTTGAATCAGGTCTCCATGCCTTTGAAGATACCTCGGGTCCTCGACAGTGAACAGGCTTCAACTAAATATAGTGCAAATCAAATACCGAGGAGCAACACAACAGAACTGAGACCGCCCTAGGTCGACCTGCTGTTTCTCCACCTGGCACCACATCACACGGGACAGATTGGCACACGGGAACAACCACTTCTATCTAGGTTTTGATCTGAAAGGCGGTGCGGCGCAGCGAGTGCAGGGCCACCACGCAGCAGCCCCGGAGCAAGGCTCCGATGTTATAAACGGGATCTGTCCCCCCTCTCTGAGTACTGAATGCCCACAGCACGGTGGGGACCACAGGGGCAGCCACAGCCAGGAGATCCACCAGGAAACTGTGGCTCCAGTATTGCCGCCCCACGGTCCCCCGGGCCAGCGGGATGATGCTGTCCAACCTTTCCTCTGCGGTGCCTGCAAAATCCAGCTCTCGCATGAGGCGGTTTGCATGAGCTTGCGGATCCACCGTGGTGTATGGGGTCTCCACGGGAGACAAAAGGATGGCCGAGTTTGGATTCCTTGGGGTTAAATCAACCACTAACGCAGAGAGGGACTCCAGGAAGCTCCCTGTGGAGTCAGCAGTGGACTCGTCGGGGGACACTGAGCTCGAGGGGTAGGGGTCCTGGAGCTGGAGCACATACTGAACGAGCTCCGAGACTGCAGGGCTGTAGGGAACCACGTCGGTCTGCACCGCCCGCTCCACCGCCAGGATGCCCTCCTCCGGCCCCGCCACCAGGGGGAGGCCCTCCAGGACCTTCGGCCCCGCGGGGGAATGGAGAAGCTCCAGGTGGCCAGCCTCGGTGGCCGTGGCCGTCACCAGCTCCTCCAGCGAATCTGTGGCATCAGCCATGCTCTCACCCACCAGCAGCTCGCTGTAAGCCCCTTCCTCTGTGACCTGCCCTTCCAGCGACAGCCCCCCTGCCATCTTGTCAAAAGTGGTGTTTCGGGGGAAGCTCTTCTCTGGGGAATCACACGGGAGGTCCAGACAGAGCTCATCCCGCAGGGAGCCGCTGTGTGCCATCTCCATGCTCTGAAGGAGGGACTCCAGCTTCTTGTTTTGAATGTTTATGTCCACAAAGTATTTCTGAATGCCTTTATCTTTATCCGCCAGGTTGCTCCTCATGGTTTCGATGACCTGCTTGAGCTGTTTGATCTCTTTCCTGGCTTCCTTGAGGGCCAGCTGGGCCTCCACCCGGTGGCACTCTTCTTCAATCCAGTCTTCCCTCATCCGGGCCAGCTGGGACTTCAGCTCCACAATTTCCGTTTCCCTGGAGTGAGAGGACAAGCACGGCTGAGAAACAGGTCAACCTGGAGCCAGGTGGCAAGCAATTCTGACACTCGGCCAAGAGCCCACACTCTTCCCCTTGAAACCCAGAGGCTATTCAGTTTTGACATTTCTTTCTTTCACAGGTATTAGCCACGAATGGCCCCCCACCACAATTGGAAAATGGCTTACGTAATCATAGTAGAATCAGAATAAAAAAACACCACTATTTTTTTTTTTTAGTGCTTACTACATGTCACACATTGCATTAAATACTTTACAAGCATTATACTCTAATACTTAATATTTGACATTTTATTATTAGAACACACTAGAGTCTCTCAGCTTTATTGCCATAGCTTGCCCTTTCATGTCCCTAGACTTTGTGGGAGCAAAGTCCATTTGACTTCTCATCACGTATCTAAGAAGGCAGAATTGTTGTGACCATATTACAATGAAACTTTAAAAAATAAATCATATAATGCTACATACTGCAAGGATTTTGTGGAACTTGAATTATTCAATCTCCTCTTAGGTAAGAGGATATTGGATCCATCCTACACTGAAGAGAATATATCCTATTTTCTTAGATCCTTCACAGGACTCTATTTCAAGATCTTAGCTGAAAGTTTCTTCCTTACATATAATTTCTTCCTATGTCCTCACATTCTCCGTGGCTATGAAGACCAGGTAGTCAGGGTCCTTATATGTAGGAAGAGATGTTGGTATTGCTGCTTTAAGTGTAGGCTTGCATTTTCTCCAGTTTCACTGCCTTCATACCTCCTTCTCATGACTGCTCGAACCCTCCCACGGTTTCCTCACACCTAAACCAAAGATTCCCACAAAGTACGGTCTGACTCACTGCAGCCTTAGCCTGGGTTCACGGCTACCCTGGCCGGAGCTCTGCCCCACCATCCTAAAGCGTTCCAGGGAAAACCAGCCAGCAGAGAATCAGGGCTGCTCCAAGATGTCAAAGGTCTTTTCTCTCTGAGATAAGATCTCTTAAGCATGGGGCTGCTTTGTTTTGTTTTGTTTTGACCTCAACACTTGGCCAAGAATAACGAACCTCTTCCTTCAGCACAGAAATAGCTTGCAGGGATCACGGCCCACACACACAGTCAGCCCCTCTCTCACAGAAATACAGAGCTTAACAGGGGCTCACTGTGTGTGCCCCATTCTGCGGGAACTAAGGCTTGTTCATCTCAGTGTTCCCGCCATTTAAAAATAGTCAGGCACACACCCAGCGCCTCACGTCAAAGCTGCACACACCCAGAAAAAGCAGGCGGTCTCCTCTAACTTTGGGGTGGTCCCTTCAACTCCCGAAACAGCCAACACTTTTGAGAGACTGCTTTATGAAATAGAACAAAAAGGAAATAAAATCACATTTCTTCTTTTCTGTTTTTCTAGAGGGCAGTTTCACATTTCATCTTATAGGAAAAACAACTGTCCTAAAGCACCACATGCAAGGCCTGTGGGTTCACCTCTCATGGAGCCGGCGCTCAGATTCCTTCAGCCTGGTCTTCAGGTGTCTCACCGTCACCTCTTTCTGCTGCAGAGGAGTCAAATACTGCTCAGGATTCGGGGGCTTGACACCATGGTTTTCACCACAGGACATATACCTCCCGGACCGCCTGAAAGAGCACAAGTTTTGACAGGTTACTCTTTGCCCATTTCCTTTTGTGTGAAAAGTTAAGGCGCAGATATAGTTTGAGAAGAAATCGCAGTCGTGTGCTGGGGTCTTAAACCTCAGTCACGTCTGACCTCACTGTGAAAGGGGACAGTAATACACCTGCCAGTCCTAGGATGTTCATTACTTGGAAAATTGGGGTGCTGTTTGTGGAGGGTGACGGGAACGGGGGGGGGGTTCCCGTGGCTTTCTAAAGATCTCATATAGAATAGGGTGCAATTGCCCATGGCCTGCCTGTCGGTTCAGAGTAACATGCTGCTAGACGGAAGGACAAAGAGTGGGGCAGGGAGGGAAGGGAGCGAGATGACCTCACTTTCCACACAATGTGCCCCTAAGATCCTGATTGTTGTGAGCTGAATTCAAATTGTTCTGGAAGAAGTCCCTGGAGTGACTGTGCTGATTCAGTGGAGAGCTTCCTTCTTCTGACGGGAATGAGGCTACGGCACTCTCACCAGAGCGTGCTTTGTAAGAGAGGTGCCCCATGTTCTAAAATCTCCCTCCCCGCTGACCAACCGCAGCTGGAATCCGGCCCGGCCCTTCTCGGGCCTGACCAGGAGCCGGGCTTCCCTCCTGGGAGGGCTGACTGACGGAACAGGACGCCCAGAGGAAGAGGACCGAAGGAGCACGGCTGGCAGCTTCTCCGCTGACTCTGGACCCAGCCCAGGCCGCTGCGCTCGCCCTGCTCCCCTGCGCCTGCACTCCTTCCAGGATGGGCTGAGTCCAGTTCCCCGTCCCCCAGTCCTCCTGTCCAGGCCCATTTGGATGTGCAGTTCCTTCTTTCTGCCTCCCCACCCCCACCCCCACCCCCAAGGACTAACTCACTCCTTACTTGAACTTCAAATCTCATTTCCATTCCCCTTTCTTAGTGAGGCCTCCTCCGATCCCTCCAGACCGCAGATGGACCCACTGGCCACCTTTTACATGCACACATACTGGCAGAATAATGGGAATGGGAGTTTTTACAATTTGGTTGATTTTAGAGGGAGAGGCAGAGAGAGTGGTTTGTTTTTCCACTTACTTATACACACATTTGTTGCTGACTCTTATATGTTCCCTAACTGGGGGGTGAAACCCACAACCTTGGCATGTTGGGACGACACTCTAACCAACTGGCCAGGGCATCTTATTGTGTTTTTGCCATTAGATGAATAAGGTCCTTCTTCTCCTCTGGGTGGTAGGCACAGAGACCATCTGTTGGTCACTGCTCTGTTCCCAGCACTGTACACAGTACCTGGCACAACGTGGCACTCCACACATGGCTGGTGTTTGAACAGACGCATGAATGATCCCATTTTTCCTCCCTGTCCAGTCACTGCTTGGACTGCTGAAACTTACAAACGATTGTGGCTCGTGTCCTTTCTGTAGCAGCCCTTAACCAATTAGCTGAGCGTGGAAAGACAAGTGTCTTATTGCAGAATAAGGCAGCGAATCAAGAGTTGCACAACTTTTTTTTTTTTAAAGAAAACTTACCACGTTGGACAAACTAGGAACCATGAACTGAAGGACGATCAGTACAGACTCACCTCATGACTGGGCTGCAGTCACTTCCTTTGTAGGAGCCCGAGTTGCTACTGCTCGGGGAAGAAGGCGCGTAGCTAGGGTGGGTGTTCACAGGGCTCAGCTGACTCCTGCACAGCATGGACAGCAGGTCCTTTTCCCGCGGGGACGGCGGGCTGTTGCCGGACTTGTGTGATGAAGTTCCATTACTCCGCCCATGGGGACCTCGACTGGGGAAAAGCATGAGACAAGGTTAAACCCCTCGGGGCTACTGGCGCCCAGTGAGAATGCTTTACTCCTTAGAGCTACTTACCACCAAAGGAGTCCAACTTACAGTGTGGAAACAGGTGCTGTCATCACTAGTGCAAACTGCCCTTTCCCTCCCTTCCCACCTGCCCAGTACTTCCTCTCCTTGTGCCGTCAGCACAGGTCATCTCTGCTCTGCTGCCCTTTTCAATGGTTTCTGACCACAAAGCTTGTTTTGGATTAAACCCAGCTGAACAGTAGGAACACAAACCATGTAAATATTGACTTGGTTCAAGTTCATTTTGGAGACTGCTTTGAAGATGTGGTTTTTGTTCCAGTGCACCTGTTTCAGCTTTAAAATAGTTGCGTTTGGTTCAGGTTGAGGTAAGAAAATTGGGTAGGTTCATTTGGAAGATGGGGGAAAAGGGGGTTGCCCATAAAGAAGAAGGAGAAAATAGGACAGATAAACATAGCCCACATAAATGCATTGAGTCCATAATTTTAACCTCCTTTTCCCCTCTCCCCAATAACTTAATACAACCTTTATCATTTAACTGCTGAAATGTTGTAACAGCTCCCTCTTCATTCCCTGGTCTCTTGTCTTGCCCCCTCTAGCAAGAGGCTGACTTTGTGGCTGGAGTGGCCTTTCCAAAGTGGAATTTGAAGACCACTGCCCTCCCCAGGGCCATCCCCTGACTCCCCACTGCCTCCAGAATAAAGGGCAAACTCCTTGCCATGCTCACAAGGTCCCACTGCCCTGTCCTACCCACCCTCTGCCACTTCCCCTCCTCCCTCCATTCCGGCCTTCCAAATGACTTAGTTTCCTGCGGATTCACGTTCCCCATCATCTTTATATATATATTAGATTTATTTTATTTATGTTCAGACAGAGGGGAAGGGAGGGAGAAAGAGAGGGAGAGAAACATCAATGTGTGGTTGCCTCTCACACACCCCGTTTGGGGACCTGGCCTGCAACCCAGGCATGTGCTCTGACTGGGAATCAAACCAGCGACCCTTTGGTTCACAGGTCAGCATTCAATCCACTGAGCCACACCAGCCAGGGCTTTCTTTATATATATATATATATTTTTTTTAAAGATTTTATTTATTTATTTTTAGAGAGGGAAGGGAGGGAGGGAGGGGGAGAGAGAGAGAGAGAGAGAGAGAGAGAGAGAGAGAAACATCAATGTGCGGTTGCTGGGGGTTATGGCCTGCAACCCAGGAATGTACCCTGGCTGGGAATCGAACCTGGGACACTTTGGTTCCCAGCCCATGCTCAATCCATTGAGCTATGCCAGCCAGGGCGACTTTCTTTATATTTTTAAACGTATGATTTCCTCTGCCTAGGATACTCTCCTTCTACTCTCTACCCTAAGCCTCGGGATACCTCCTACTTCGAAACTGATAGGAACCTACTCCAAGCAGCCTTCTCTGGACTCTTCCTTCCCCAGGCCGGTGTAGGTACCACTGCTTGGTGCTCCCTAATACTCTGTGCAAACCTCCATCGTGAAACTTACCACACTGCATCACAACTGCAGACTTGCTTGTCTTTCCCGCTAGACTAGGGCATGCCGAGGGCAGGACCAGAGCCTCGTCTTTTATATCCCCACCGCTGCCTGGCACGTGCCAGGTGTTCCTCAATGACTGACAACTGAGTACACTGGGTTTACGTCCTGACACTGCCACTTCCTAGGAATTCAGGCAAGTAAGCCACTTAATAGATGGGGACCTATAATAACTTATCCTGTTTTCCTCACAGAGTTGAACGCGTGTGAGTGCATTCGATTAAGCTGGTAAGGGCAATTGAACTGTGGGGTATTATATTATAGAATAAACTTGTTTGGACCTCCCTGTTCGTCTATTTCCAGGGGAAACATTTTGAGAATGTTGAAATTACTTAAACAGGACAACTGTTCTGCGTCAGGAAGATTTCTTGACGACATTACAAGAAAACAACAGGGAACAAGATCCCTTTCATGGAGCAGCCCTGCTTTCTGACATTCCCGCCCTTGCCATTCTAATTACAGCTGCATCCAGCAGACACGCATCTCAATGAGAAACGTGTGTCAGGGGGGATGTGAGAGCGCGTGTGGGCATACTTGGCCCCATAACCACAATTACTTATTTAAAATCACATACAATTTCAACCAGCCGTCAACCCAGTAAATCACGCATAAATGAAACATCACCACCTTGGAAAGTTAAAAAAGTTCTTTCCTTTTGAAATCATCCAAATGGACTCTGCCTCCATTTCACGAATAGGGGACACTTTATATAGAACAGATGGGCTGATGGCTTTGTGACAAACCGACTTGAGCAGCCCAGGGGTGGGAGGCCTTGGGGGAGCTGAAAAGAACGTGTACTCTGGCTTGGATCCGCTTCTCCACGCTGCGCTGCTCAGTCTGGCACCAACTGGCCTATTTCTTAATGCGGCTGTGGGAGACCTGGAGGATTAGCCAGTACAAGAGAGAAAGCAAAGGACTACCCCTGATTTTCACCTGGGGAATTCGATTCTGAGTTAACCTTCACCGAGGACCTTCTGTGACCCCAGCCCTATTCCCAATGCTTCATGAGCATTGTTTCTCGTAATTCTGACCATCATGCCCTGTAGCTGGTACAATTATTGCCTCCTTTTCTTGTTATGCTGAAGTACTCATTCGGCTAAGTAACTGAGGCTCAGGGGGTAAAAAAGAGAAAAATTGGCCCAGGGACACACAGATGAACTGGAAATGAAATGCAGGTCTTGTAATTCTATAGAAATGTCTCCTAATTTACACAAATGGGATGTGCTGTTTGGGGCTTGTAGACAGGTATATTAGGTACTGCCTTTATATGTGGTTATTACCTAAAGAATTCGCCACTGACTTCTCTAGCAGGACATATGTTCTAAGATACAAATGAACTTAGATGAGGATTTTGTAAGAACTCATCTGCTTTACAGGATACAGCAAAAACTATTAAGCTATGAAACATTACTAGAGTTCAATCAAATCTTCAAATATATTTTAGGAAATGAATTATTAGACTGTTTGGAACAGCTTTTACAAAAGAAACTACATGCTTAAAAATATCTGTTATGTCCCTTGCATTTAATTTAATTCCAAAGCTAACACATATGGGCAGAAAGTCATCATGGTTGATGATAAAATATTTTCGAAGGGGAAGCAGGGGTTCCCCATTCGTCAGAGCTGTGAACAGGCAAACCCAGCACTGCCCTCCTCAGCCCACCCTGAATCCCCTGGTTTGGTGGATGAGAATGAAGTCCACAGAGAGGAGGCAGAGTTCTGCTGACCACCCCCACCCCACCCCCCGCCCTATTTCCACAAACATGAAGACAATACATGGAAAGTGAGAGAAAGGAAGAAGTGAAGAGCAAACTTCAGAAGGGGCCCAGGTGAATTTCTATTCCCCAGCCATTGTCCTTTACTCCAGGTAACATTCTTACAACACCACCATCATCACCATCATCAGTGCCATAATCATTGTTACGGGCTGAATTGTGTGCTCTCCAAATTCGTAGGTTGAAGCCCTAACCATCCAGTACCTAAGAATTGTGACCATATTTGAAAACAGGGCTTTCAAAAAGGTAATGGAGTTAAAATGAGGCTGCTAGGGTGGGCTCTAATCCAACTTGACTAGTGTTCTTGAAAGAGGAGATTTGAACACAGACAGAGGGAAGTATTGGTGAAGAAATGAGACAAGACGGCCCTCTATAAGCTAAGGAGAGAGACCTCAGAAGAAGCCAATCCATGCTCACACCTTGATCTCAGATCGATAGGCTCCAAAATTGTGGGAAAGTAAATTGCTGTTGTTTAAGCCACCTCGTCTGCGGTATTGTATTAGGGCAGCCCTAGCAAACCAGTACGATCATCATCACCATAATCACTAGCACCAGCAGCAGCAGCCTGAGTGAGATGTCGTTATTGCCCTATTTTCCAGAAGAGGCAACTGAGCCTCGGGCTGCGGGTCATGCCCCTAATAAACAGTGGACACTGAACTCAAGTCCAGGGCTCTTGACTCTAAATCTCAAGGTTTTTTTTTTCTTCTCACTTCTGTCTGCCTCTGACTAGACAAGGTTCTAGTTTAAGAAAGAGACTTCCTCAGAAATATGAGCAGAATTGGCCTTCTAGAAGGACAGATTATTTGTAAATCTCTAATGTTTTATTTTTAAAATCGCCTATTAAAAATATTCTCACCAACTCCGCCTGTTCCTCATTTCTCCCACCGCCCTTTACCGAATGTTCCCATCGCCCTTCCTCCCAGGAGCTGACTCTCCACAGAGAAAATTCCTGTATTACAGGAGGAAGGAGGCCATTAAAAAAGCCACAAGCTATTACAGACTTTGGCATGAACACTGGCCCATCTACAGGAGCTGTCCTCGATGCATGGTCCTTTGGAACACAAAGATTACATGAAATGCCAGAGCTGTTTCATCATAGAAATCTACGCATGATGCTCTGTGCCCAGGTCACATTAAAAAAATAGTGAGGATAATGGATAGAACATTGCCTGTTTCAATTTCCCATCTATTAAGCATACATTTTATTTGCACATAATTATATTAATCTATTCTACGTTTAACACATCAATTTTCAATCACTGAGAGAAACCATGAACTCTAGATTTGAATATTTTCTCTAAGTCACTCAGTACTATTGACATTACCTTCGCATTTAATCACAAACACGAATTCCTTTGAAATGCTTAATAAAATTGTCTTTTTTCTTCATATCATTTTTTTCCTCTCTGTTCTTTGATACCTTGTACCATGGGTATGTGTTACTTTCTCGAATGGATTAGATAAGTGGTTTATTCTCAGAGCGAGCCACATCTGATTTATACAAAGAATGTTTATATTCCTGTCCTCTGATCCCAGATGCACTTTATTTCCATAACAGATGGTATTTGGGAACAGAATAATTGTGCTTTTTCACTGTGGGCTTCACTCTTTTGTTGCAGGTTTGTCTGGCTTCAGCTTTGTTTTTACTAAACTCTACACTGTGGGTCTCAGGTCCCTTTGTAAACACCAGCCAAAGCTTCTCCTTACCCAGGGGGAATGAGAAATGCTTGCTGACTCCTGGAAATACCAGACTTTAGAAATAAAACAGTTTTTATCCAGGAGAGGACCTTAAAAATCACATAGTCCAACCTCTTTTATACAAATGTGGACACTGTGGCCCACGAGAGTTAAGGGACTCCCCCACAGTCTACAGACAAATCATACCCAAGTGTCCTGTGGCTCATACATTGCTTTGTTCAGGTCTCTGCTCTGAGCTCACCCCCTGGCAGAGGTGTCCTGGAACCAGCCTATCTAAAATACACCACACACCCCACTACTCTCTTACAGCTGTTCCCTGCATGTTTGAAAAATCATGGTGTCATTTATGTGCTTACTGTCTTTCCCTGCTAGAATGAGTATAGTTCCCATGGCGTTTGGTTTACTGCCAGATCTCCAGATCCCGTCTCACAGTCGACACTCAACAAATACTTGTTGAATAAGCCGCTGTTGGTGGCAGAGAATCCTAAACCACTGAATGTGGACAGAGGCTCCCATTCCTCCCTGTCTTCTCTCCCACAATCCAAATAGCATCCATGGTGGCCCTGGTCGATGCTTACTATGCTCCAAGCACTGACCTCACACTTTACCTGTATTAACCAATTAATCCTAATAATAAACCCTACAAGGTGGGTAGGACCATAGCCCTATTTTTTACAATTACTAAAATAATTCTTATTTATTTTTAAAATTATATTTTATTGATTATGATATTATAGTTGTCTCAATTTTTTCCCCTTTGCCTTCCTCTGCCCAGCACCCCCCACTTCCTCAGGCAATCCCCCCATCATTGTTCATGTCCATGGGTCATGTGTATAAGTTCTTTGGCTGCTCCATTTCCTATACTGTAATTTACATCCCCATGGCTATTATGTGACTACCTATTTGTACTTCTTAATCCCCTCACCTCTTCACCCACTCTTCCTCACCCCCCTACAACCTGGCAACCACCGAAACGCTCTCTGTATCCATGATTCTGTCTCTGTTCTTCTTTGCTTAGCTTTTTAAAAAATTCCATTGTTGATAGATATGTAGTTATTGCCATTTTATTGTTCATAGTTTGGTCTTCTATTTTACAGATGAGATAACTCAGGCACAGAGAAGTTAAGCAACTTACTCAGGGCTACACAGCCTGTAGGTGAAGCTGGCTTTCAAACCAAGTGGCCTGGCTCCATGGCCCACACACTTAGCTCTTTTGCTCTGTTGCCTCTTTCAGTGGTGGCCACTCATGCCTCTGGGCTTGACACTTCCTTCACCCCTTCCCCAAGGGAATGTTGGGGTGCCCAGAGGGTCACTTATGCTTTTTTCATGAGGATTTAAAAAGAGAAAAAAAAAAGAAGCTCGGGTAGCAGAAAAAAAGGCTGAAATCAGAGTCTTCATAGCTAAAAGGCAACAGAGATGGGGAGGTGGGGTGGGAAGTGGAGACAAGCTTAATACCCAGATGAGCACACAGGTGAGTGAGGAAGCGAAAGTAGAGTGGACACAGAGCCAGTGGCTGCATGAGAGAGAACACTGGCCATGCCATGTGACCCCAGGAGGACTGGTAAAGAATACTGATTTCAAATCACGAAAAAACAAACAAAAATCACTCACTGGATAATAATAAAATACGAATGGGCAGTAATGTGGTGGCTCTACAGAAGCACCCAGTGCAGGGGTAAAGCACTTGACTAATTAGAGAGCAGGAGACATCGCCTACTTGCGTGAGGAAGAGGACCGCTTGCTTCCCGCAGCAGACATGTGGACCTCGGGAGCAGAAATGCTGCCAGTGCTGCTGGAGGAGCTGAAATCGGCTTCGCTACCTGGAAAACAACAGGGGAGACAGGAGGTGAAGGGAAGGAAACTGAGAACACACTGGCCGGATCCCTGCCCCACCCCGAGGTCCCTGGCTCCCTGCCTTTGCACTCTAACTCAGCAAGTGGCAAGATTCCAGGGCTCCCAGTCTCTCATCTGTTTTCCCCGAAGCAGGCAAGAGAAGGCGCAAATGCAAGGACATCATTTCCTAAACACAGCTTAGAGGCACAGGAGGGCCGGTCTTCCAGCAGATGGTATACCAACAATGACCCACGTGGCAGGGAAAATACACAGCCCTCTCTGTGAGCCGCACGCTCCCTCAACAACATCAACACTCGGGCCCAAACTTGGAGCATGACAAAAGCATGCTTATCAGTCTCAGAGTAGTTTTTTCAAGAAAGTTTCTCTTTGGGCTTCTGTAGTCAAATAGCCAGGCTTGCATGTGTCACCTGGGTCTGAAGACAATCACCCAATGAGAAGCAGTCAGGAGGACAGCCTGGGCTCCAGGTAACTGCCCGGGAGACACTATCTGCTTACTGACTTTCTCTCATTAGACTGCAGCTCTGGGTTTTCTATGAAGAACAGAGCCTTAACGAAAAGCAGCAACAAACAATTCCAAACAGAAGGAAAAAAGTTCACAGTGATGGAAGCTCTGAATTATAGTCAAGTTTGAAATTTCAGGGTTTGGGGAGGTGCAGTGGAGAGAGTATTCCGTAGTTTACAAAGATCACATTACAATCTTGAGTACAGACTAGCATTTGGTATGTAATTAGAAACATGCTGTGTGGTAGAAGAGTTAATATAAACTCGTTTCCAACAAAGAAATAGTATGTAGTTGTGAAATTATAATGAAAATAATCCATGGATTGCCTGGGGAAATGAAGCAAGAGGGAGAGAGGCAGGAGAGAACAAGTGGGAAGAAGAAAGAGGATTAAAAATAAAAAGATGAAATTCCATATGCTTTCAGAAAACAGATCGAGGTGTGCAGTGTCGTTGGCCTCGCCTCTCAGCTCCCACAACACAATTTCTGAGTCTGCTCTAGGACCTAGAGCCAGCTCACATTTCTGAGCTGAGGAAAATAGGAGTGATTTAAATCCCTTGAGTTACTAACAAGCCGTGAGCGATGATTATCATAAAAACTATGTATTGAGTGGCTAGTAGGGCCCAGGCCCTGTGTGAAATGCTTTCTATTCTTCATATTTTTGACAACTTTGCAAGGCAGGCATTAATATCACTGTTCTACAATTGAGACCAAAACTGGCTTACCCGAAGCTCGTGAATGACAAATCCTGCCCGGGACAAAATCCCTGTGGGATTTCTATGGACCGTGCTGCATCCTTAGGAAGGCAGTGGGAAAAGAGGGCCATGGCAGGGCTCTAGAGTAAACGATATACCACCATCTCACTAACTCGCAAGGTGAGCACAAGTGCAAGATGTGGCCAGACTGGCCCATGGGGGAACAGGTCCTGTCACTGACGGATTGCATTAGTTTTGCTAAAGGGGAAGGTAAACAGCAGCGAGGCAGAGAGACAGAAATCCCTCCCTGGCTTCCACGACCTCTCAGGAAGCTCAGCCTCTTCTGGGAAAGAGATGAAGAATGATCCCTGAGCACATATGACAGGAATGAATTTCACCTCCCAGCACAATTCTGGGAGGATTACGGTGGCAATTTATTAGGACAGAATGGGCTATGCCTTCCAGATTCCAGAGACTTTGTCTAATGATATAATGAACTCTAGAAGCTCCCCGGACTTAATTAGTTGCCTCTGAGAACTGCACTGGCTAAACTGTATTTACAATCTCAACGATTCGTGATTGGTAATGGTATCTAGTCCTGACAGCTTCATTTAGTCAGGCCTGTCTGCTAGTAAATTATCAGATCATAAATTTGGTTATTAAATCATAAACTTGGATGCTTTTAAAAAATAGATATTGTGGCTGAGGCTACCGGGTTTAAGATATTATTTCCGCCCTGGCTGGGTAGCTCAGTTGGTTAGAGCATTGTTCTAATAAGACAAGGTTGTGGGTTCAATCTCCAGTCAGGGCACATAAAGAATCCACCAATGAATGCATAAGCAAGTGGAATAACAAATCGATGTTTCTTTCTCTCAAATCAATAAATAAAATTTTTAAAAAAGGCATTTCCTAATATAAAGTTATTACTCTGAAATGCCCAATTTTCATTCCTTAAAAGATACACAATAGCCGTCAATCATAATTTAACCGTTTGCAGAAAAATGGAAATTCTTAAAGAGGAACAGTTGCTGAGAATCCATTGTTCCCACACGATGCCTTTGATCTGTGGTAATTATGGCCTCTACCTGAAGGGACAACTTTTTTCTACACTTCATCGCTACCGGAACCAAGTATATTGACTCTCATGTCTTTTCAGGGCCTAAGATCACTGCATTCCTGTACTTTTCGAATTTTTCTTCTGCGCATCTGAAAAAGATTAGAAGACTCATTCAGGACACCCAGGAGATGCATTCGGGACTATTTGAATAATATGACAGTGAAAAATATATAGGCCACTTTTCCACTATTTCGGCTTACGATTTGAAAAAAACATAAACAGTTTCCAGTTTGGTTAACACAATGTAAAGTCAATGCACTCTATTTAAGGGATACACAAAAAAGTCAGTTTTACTACATCATCTGATTACTAAGCAAGTTAACTAAGAGGAAGGCTGGAGACCTGAGGACCCCCATTCATCTATTAGTTGACAACAAAGACACAAGGAAAGAGAGGCACTCTTTATTCAGTTCCTTTAAACAGTGAATGCAGCAAGGTTAGTGCCATGAGCACTGCAGTTCAGAGGTCTTTGGGGTTACGAAGATCACACAAACACTGCACCTAACCTAAGAATACAGACTCTGAGTCAGACAGTCGGGTTCAAATCCCACATCTACTGCTCGTTAGATAGAACACATTAGCCATATTACTTCACCTCTCTGTGCCGCAGTTTCTTAATTGTGATGGGGTTAAAAAGACAAGCTTTATTATACTATATATCTCCTTTATAGATAATTTAGAATATAGCAATGGTCCAGAAAGAAAAATGTAGCTTATTAATGTCATCACCAAAAAAATTAGCTATAGTTAACCTTTGGATATATAACTATTCAGACTTCATACTTAATACATTGTCATGTAACCTAATTGTTTTTCTTTCAATATGTGAATATCTTTAGGGCACACCGCATGTTGTTTCATCAAATCAATGAATATGTAGGTTATTTCCAGTTTTCCTACTATGAGTAACAAACACTGTGTGCCGGAAACCATCCTAAGCATCCTCTACATATTAAATCATTCGTTTCTCATGCCAGAACAGCCCCGATGAAGCAGGGACAATTATCAGTCCCTTTTACAGGTAAGGCAGAGAACTGAGTGACACCAATATGGGGACACAGCTACTAAGAAGTGGAGCCAAGGCTGGGACCCAGGTCTTCGGACCCCAGGGCTGATATTCTTAAACACAGGCTAAGTGTTCAATGGGTACCTTGGGCAGACAACTTTATACCCTTGTCTGCTTATTTCTTTAGAACAAACTCCTAGAAGTAGAATTTTGAAGACAAAGGATAGGCTCAATTTAAACACTTTTCATATTTCAATATCATTAAATATTAAAGGCTTGCAATATTTAGCAGTTGCCCCATTTGTCTACGTGTAGACACCCAACTGGGCATCTCTGATGTCACAGGGGACTTGACAATACTTGAATGTCGAAGAGTCACGCCTGAAAAGATGAAGGGAATTTAAAATATGCATATCCAACTCATCCTCATCAATACTGTCTTTGTTCCTTATTAGTACTGTCTTTGATCAGCTGCTGTGGTTGGTGGAGCAGGGTTCCAGGAATGAGCAGGCAGGATGAACTTGACCTTTAAGATACTGTGTGGTGCCAGGCCTGATGCCTGAGCATCCTGCAGCTGAAGGCATTTCCAACCAAAAGCTACGTTCACTGGCCTCCAGAAATTCTGGTGGTGTTTCATCTGGTAGTCTTGCTAGACTACTGAGAGGAGTTACTTTATTCATAATGCTGATACTAAGCATTCTCTGCATATGATGGAAAGTCCAGGAATTAGAGAAGGAAAACTGGAGACAAAAAGAATATGTGCAAAAACCGATGGCTTATTTTTTAAAAGAACACTGACTGTGATGTGGTCTCTCAGGACATTATTAATTTTGCCTGCTTTCAGGATACAGTGGAGTCCTCATACATCAGTTCACCAAGGACCTCTGAGGACAGACCAATCCTGACATCTACAAAGCTGAATTAAGCCATTCTAACCAGAGATTGATGCAACCCCAAACCCTCCCTTATCCTTAGCGTGTCACCACAGAGCTATCAAATTAATTCAGGTTGGCCGCCAATAGCCCCACCTCAAACAGAGGCCACAAATTAAAAAAGAAAAAAAAACCCAAAGCCAGTTCCTTATCCCTTCATCCTCTCATGCCCTGTCCCCACCTGCAGATGCACAGATCTTTTATTTAAAGGTCTCTAGGGAGCAGAGATGAGCCATTTTCACTGAAGCCAAGCAGAGCTATTAGGGAGCAGCTGGGGCAGTGGACAGATGTAATTATACAAGACACTGTAAAAGAAGCTACTCTATAAAGCGGATTCAGAGCTGACTCTTAGCTGCAAAGCTTGGGTGGGGGGAGCAGCCAAGTAATCAAAAAAAATGCTACACAGAAAAAACAGGACTTTTGTTTCAGATTTTGCACACTATTCCTTGAACCTGCTCAGGTGGTTTATCTCAGAAAGGGAATATTTGATCAAAAGGCCAACCGATTAAAAAATATAGAGAGCTATTCTTATATTTCAAAAGAAGTCTTCCTAGAAATTGTGAATATCACTTCCATGTATATCATAATTTCTGAAAAGGTTTATCTTCATTCTGATTGACGTGCAAGGAATGGAGCTGCCATAAACATAACTTCCTTCCCCCCTAGCCCTCTCTCTAAAATTAAATAAATAAAATCTTAAAAAATAACATCTAGAGT